CTGCAGTTTAATTAAACCAGTTCATAAACTGATGCTGTGAAATTAATGCTAAGTCTGTGGGAGGATAGATGTTGTTTTGCTGGAGTGCTTTCTACTGTTTTAACTGAAGTGGTAATGAACGGATTTAGCCTAAATCAATATACCACGTACTTCAACTGATATGTGTCCAAAAAAAGGCATTTGCATCAACATAATGAAACAGCACAAGGTTTTCATGTAGACAAAGACTCAGAAGAAAATATAACCACATTATACTTTAGGAATACTGTGAACATGCCTTGTTTTGCCCTTGTCTGCTGTCAACACCTCCTCCACTGCCTCCAGGGGCCTGCTCCCCACCACCTGACAGTTTTATTAACTCTCTCTTCCTGTCTTATTTCCCCTCAGGTACCCACTCTTTGGCAAGTTGCACTTCTTTTTATCACCAAACCACCCCATTTGATGCAGCTCTCAGAACAGCAGCTACCTGCAGTTCTGCTAAGCTAAAAGGTTCCTCTTCAGGGTCGTTTCAAGCTGATGTTTCGCCGACTTTCCCCTGTGCTGTAACAGGAATAGTTACTACAGCCGCAGAGCCAGACTGGCCGGGGTTTCCTCAGAAACCAAAATATCCCCCTTCAGGCTTCTTGTGTGTCCAACGCTGTGGGAATGTCAGAATGTGACTACTCCTTGTGGGAAGTCCATCGCTCTCCAGAGGGTGACACACACAGTGACTGAGCAAAAGTATAAAAATGGACATAAGCCATTTTTAGCAGCTCTGCTTTCTTAGCCTGGCATAGTATCTCAGCTACCGGTTCACAGTACAGAGTGGGCAAAGTGGGTGGGAAAAGGTCAGTCCTTACTCTCCTGGCTGTTCTCGGTTCCTTCCCCAGATTCCAGCACGTTCAGGCCAAGGCTGGGATGTTCATCCTGCAGAATCTCATCTCCACCACTGTGCCCAAGCCACCACCACAGCTGGACAGGGGGAACAGGGGGGATCTCTGGTGATGAAGCGCTGGAAAACACACGCCGTGTTGAAACTGTGACATCCAGCCATTCTGAGGGCACCAAGGCCAGTATACAAAATAGGTTAGACAGTGTTGGACTGGCTGAAGAAAGACAGAGCTGGCACTGCTGGCAGACATGTTACAAAAGGCTTGCTCCCATGCTGCTGAATCAATGGCAAACCTCCCAAGGGAAGTAGCCTCTGACCTCAAATGTGTAGTTAACAACCCAACCCTGTACGGCACCTACCGCATCCTACAAGCTGCAGGCAGCCTGCAATCCCCACTGATGACTGGAGGTGCTGAGCGCATTGGAGTGCTACCGATCACAGCAACTTCAACCATTCTACATTCCAGACAGTCTTTATGTTTACCCTGGGATATGCAACATGTTGTACGTAAGTCGCCAGCTAAAAGGAGGGAGAAATCAGACTTGATTTTCCCTCTGTGCCTAACAATGCTCAAAAGTGCAAGTTTTGAACATCTTTAAGAGAGAGTGATGTGTTGAGGCAGGAAAAGCAGTCTCATACGTTTCAGTGTGAAGGACAGGAGGGAAAAGGAAATTCTTTTCTGTGCCTTTAAGGATCAGACATATCAGAAAGTCAGTATGTTAGTGATAATTGCTAATTTCCTCTTTATAACTCAGATTGTATCCTTTTGAGTCCCCACCAGAAAATTTTCATGCCTATTTATTTATTACAAATGTAAGACACCTTTGGGGTTTTTTTCTTCTTACCCTTTTTAGGAAAAGAGACAGAGGAAGAGAGATTTCCACCTTCTCATTATTATGAAATCTAAGGAATGCAATATGCAATTCAATCCGCTGAGAGATTATTGAAAAACTCCAAAAGCAGCAGTGACACACAAGTTTAACTCTGCCCCCATGTGTGCAAACATTAAAATCATAGAATCAACAGTCTGGGTTGGAAGGGGCCTTTAAAGGTCATCTAATCCAACCCGCCTGCAATGAGGAGGGATGTATTCAACTAGACCAGGTTGCTCAGAGCCCTATCCAATCTGACCTTGATAGACCCCAGGGATTGGGCATCCACCGCCTCTCTGGGCATCCTGTGCCAGTGCCTCACCACCCTCATCAGAAAAATTTTATTCCTTACACGTAGTCTGAATTTACTGTCTTTTTGTTTAAAACCATTACCCCTTGTCTTATCACAACAGGCCCTGATAAAAAGTTTCTCCCCATCTTTCTTATAAACACCTTTTAAATACTGGAAGGTGCAATAAGGTCTCCCTGGAGCCTTCTCTTCTCCAGGCTGAACAAGCCCAACTCTCCCAGCCTGTCCCCATAGCAGAGGTGCTCCAGCCCTCGGAGCATCTTTGTGGCCTCCTCTGGACGCACTCCAACTGGACTCCATCCTTCTGATGTTGGGGGCCGCAGAGCTGGATGCAGCACTCCAGGTGGGGTCTCACCAGAGCAGAGTAGAGGGGGAGAATCCCCTCCCTTGACCTGCTGGCCACACTTCTCTGGATACAGCCCAGGATACGGTTGGCTTTCTGGGCTGCCAGCGCACACGGCCGGCTCATGTCCAGGTTTTCATCCACCAGTACCCCCAAGTCCTTCTCCTCAGGGCTGCTCTTGATCCATTCTCCACCCAGCCTGCAGTTGTGCTTGGGATTGCCCCAACCCAGGTGCAGGACCTTGCACTTGGCCTTGTTGAACTCCATGAGGTTCACATAGGCTCATTTCTTGACCTTGTCCAGGGCCCTTTGGATGGCATCCCATCCGTTGGGCATATCAACCACACCACACAGCTTGGTGTCATCTGCAAACTTGCTGAGGGTGCCATCACTCCTACTGCCTATGTCACTGAAGAAGATATTAAACAGTATTGGTCCCAGCACGGACCCCTGAGGGACACCACTTGACAATGATCTCCATCTGGACATTGAGCCATTGACCACTACCCTCTGGATGTTACCATCCTCCAACCAATTCCTCATCCACCAGACACTTCACCCATCAAATCCCTACCTCTCCAGTTCAGAGAGAAGGATGTTGTGAGGGACCGTGCCAAAGGCCCTACAGAAGTCCAGACAGACAACACCCGTAGCTCTCCCCTTGTCCACTGATGTAGTCACTCCATCATAGAAGGCCACTAGGCCAGGCAGGACTTGCCCCTTGGCAAAGCCATGCTGGCTGTCTCCAATCACTTTCCTGCCCTCCATGTGCCTTAGCATAGCTTCTAGGAGGGTCTGTTCCATGATCTTCCCAGGCACAGAGGTGAGGCTGACAGGTTGGTACTTCCCAGAGCCCTCCTTTCTACCTCTTTTAGAAATGCGTGCAATGCTTCCCTTTTTCCAGTCACTGAGGACTTCACCTGACTGCCATGACTTTTCAGATATCATGGAGTGTGCCTTGGCAACCACATCAGCCAATTCCCTCAGGACTCTGGGATGCATCTCATTAGGTCCCACAGACTCACGTATGCCCAGGTTCCTCAGGTGGTCACGAACCCGATCTTCTCTTGCAATGGAAGGGCATTTGCTCCTCCAGTCTCCATCTTGTAGTCCTTTCACTCAAGAGGTGTGGGAAGAGAGACTGCCACTGAAGACTGAGGCAAAAAAGTTGCTGAGTACCTCAGCCTTGCCTCACCTGTTGTTACCAGTTTGCCAGTCTTCCTTATCGGGGTGCGTGGGGGAATACACCCTCTCTGATCTCCCTTTTCTGGCTGACATACCTGTAGAAGCCTTTGCATCCCTTGCCAAGTTCAGCTCCAGCTGCACTTTGGCCTTCCTGACCCCTTCCACAACCAGGCAGTGTCCCTATACTGTTCCCAGGACACCTGTCCCTGCTTGCGCCGCCTGTGCATTTCCTTCTTGCCTTTTAGTCTGACCAGCAGGTCTCAACTCATCCATGCCGGTCTCTTGCCTTCCTTCCCTGATTTCTGACACCTGAGGGTCGAGAGCTCTTGTGAACTCTCCCATCTCTCCCACACCCTCCACACCCTCCAATCCATTACCTGGATCCTGCTCTATTTTTGTGCAAAAGGATGTCTACGACACAAAGTATACATGACAACTGTGATGATCACGTAGCTACAGGACACCTTTTCTCTTCTACACTTATGTTTCTCTCACTGCATTAAGCAACTCTCCTTTACGAATGCATTGGCACTAAAAAACAAGACGCAGAGAAAAGCCTGTTGTCTGTACTGATTAAGAAAAAAAAAAAAAGTAAAAGTGAAAAGAAAAAACAAGCAAGTGGAATGTTGCCAGAGGGATAGTCCTGCTAAGATCAGGAAAAACAGGGGACCTAATTTTACTTCTCACCTTTGCCACACATGCGCTGTGAGAACTTCCCTGTTCTCCCCATGCCTCACTTCCCAGCCTGTGGTGTGCAGATACTATCGCACTTGGGGTGAGGGGGCGGTGAAAAGGAACTACTTCTTCCTCCGTAAACTCACACCAAGGTTCCTCCAGCCATCCCACTCCATCAGCACACAGTGACACAAGGCTTTGTCAAGGGGACACCAGGCCAGGCCACCATCCCTGTTGTGTCAACACGCTGTTCCAGCCAAAGGGCTCGGCCCTTCCTCTTCCCGTGGCTCACAGCCCACAACCACACAGCCAGCTCCGTGGGCAGAGAGCAAGACCTCTGCCTCGTGCCCCACCTCGGGACTCCGACTGACTCAATTTGTGGCACCCCCTGGCTTTACTGATGACACATCATGGGCCAAAGTGCCTCCCAGTGAAAGAGGCTCTCCAGCTGACCGCAGCGTGTCGCAACACACGGGCCAGGGCGCCGCAGGAGCTGACCCCTGCACCAACGCAAGCCGGATGGGGACACGGCCGCCCTCAGCCCTTATCCTGAAGATAAGGAACTTTGCCGGGAGGAAAGGTCCTCAGGGAGCCCCACTGATCACCTCCACGGTTTTTAATTGATTTCAGCTTTCACATTAACCTGAGTCGAGTCTACGGAGAAAAAGCCACAATCCTGTTTGCCGGATATGGGAGGATCCAGAGCACCAGCACCGCTCTGCCACCTTCCCCTGCCCTGGCCACCACCAGTCGCCGTTAAACCAGCCGGGCAAGAGGTAGCTACCGCGGGGCTGCCCAGACGGCGAGAGGGGCCATGGCGACCTACGTGCAGCTGAGCACCGGCGCGAAGATGCCCCTCCTGGGGCTGGGCACCTGGAAGGTAACAGCTTCAGAGAAAAGCACCAGCACTGCAGGGCTCCCTGGCCCAAAACTCCGCTCCCCCTAGCCCAGCTCTGGAGAGCTGTCCTGGTGTTTGGGGCTCTTCTCTCCTGGCCGTGGGGCTGAGTCTGCGTGGGAGCGGGGCTACGGATAAATGGCTGGAGATCGGCTTCAAGCCCTGGAGCCCATGTTTATGACTGCAAGAAACAGTGTTCTTGTACAGCAAAAAACCCAGCAACTTGGGGCAGAGGGGGATTACTTTCAGTAAAGTGGTTTTCCTATTTTTATTTTGCTAGGATACAGTTATTTAACATGTTCTGATTTGAGATTCTTAAGACTCATGCATTATTTTCAGTCTCCAGCTGGAAAAGTAACAGCTGCAGTGATGGCTGCCATCGATGCTGGGTACCGCCACTTGGACTGTGCCTACGTGTACCAGAACGAGAGTGAAGTTGGGGATGGGATCCAGCAGAAAATCAAGGAAGGTGTTGTGAAACGGGAGGACCTCTTCATCGTCAGTAAGGTAAGGATCAGATTATCTTCCACCCCGGAGCAGGGGTGAGGGAATGCATTGCCCATAGTATTTTCATAGTAGGAAGCTTAAGTACTGGAGACAAACTTTATGCTGCAGGATAAAGCAATTCAGAACATCATCCAGGTCACTCCTGATACAAGCTTTGTGCTTCACCCCCTTCTGTGTGGAGAGTTAGGAAGGACACGCTGTCTGCACCCTACTGTGGTCTGGCACTGCGGAGGAGACCCAGAAGTGCTAGGGGATGGATGAGGAGGGGCCATCTGCAGACCAACTGGTGCAGAAGAAGGAAAGCAGGAAAAGGTTGAGTGGGCTGGATAGCACCAAGCAAGGTAGAAGCCCATGGTGCAGAGGCCTGAGGTCACTCATTGGATCGACCAGTATCCGGGCAGAATCAGTGTGGAAGGTTCTGCCTTCCAAATACTGATGCAACGGCACCTCCCTGACTGCTCAAGCACAGCAGAGGGGGCGAGCCTGGCAGTGGCCGGTGCTTGTTCCAGCATCCGGGCTCGCAGTCCTGCCAAAGGGGTGTCCCTGCCATGTGGGGAACATGAGCTTCTGGGCACCTTGGGACAGTGGATCTGCTCAGCACCTGTCCCAAGGAAATGTGTGGTGGGTGTGTTCTCTTTCTCTTGCTTATTAAGAAAAATGGGCTATTTAGCTGGATTCTGAAGTTGCCTCTTCCCTTGGTAAAGGTTGGTGCCAACCACTTCTTTGTGGTTTGTCTTGTATTTTCTTGGCTTTGCCTGCAGAATTTTTTACAGGAAATGAACAAATGGTCAAATCTGACAGAAAGATTTCTTGAGCTAAGCCATCCCGTTCCACACAAATCTGACCTTGCAACAGGAATTTTTACTACAGATGTATCTGACCATGTGTGCTGCCCCTGCACACACTGAATTCCTGTGTCAGGGGCCCGTCCCATCACAGAGCAAGCCCCATCAAAGAGCACTAGAATGGCCTAATTCCACATCACCTTCCAAAGAAGATGGAGCATTTCTGTGTTGTGCAGGAGAGCACCTGAGAGCTCACGGTGTGCCTTGGCTTTTTCTCTAGCTGTGGTGTACATTTTATGACAAGCCTCTGGTGAAGGGAGCCTGCCAGAAGACTCTTGCTGCCCTGAAACTGGATTACCTGGATCTCTACCTCATGCACTGGCCCCTTGGGTTCAAGGTACAGTAACAGCAATGTTCCTGGCTTTCCCTCCTGGGACGCCTCTTCAAAACTGCCGCTAACGCTTGCAGCGCTACTGCCGCCCCAGCCCAGAAAGCCCATCCGTCCGCGTGTGCACCAGCACTGCCTGGCGCTGCTCATCCCGCTTTACTCTGGCCACGTGAGCCGGGCTCTCGGTCTCTGCCCCGAGACCATTGTTTGCACAGAGTCCTTTTTGATAGCGGGACAGGCAGACCTTGCACTCACATCAGGCCTGCCAGGGGCAAGCATAACCTACGCACTTTCCCCTTCTTTTACAAAACCAAAGCCCGCTCCTCTGAAAATCACCCCTTGCAGGAAGGAGGGCTGTGCTTTGCTGCCTGACAGAAATTCCTTCCCCTGTATGTTACAGAACTGCAGAGCAAAACAAAATGCTTGTTTTCCATTTCTCTCTTTAATTACCAAGTACTTAACACAGTGCAGATTGAGCTGACTGTGTCTGTGGGAGCCTTAGTGTTGTTTCACAGACCTTGGATTGCAAAAGATGAGGCTTTCCAGTACTAATTTCCAATACTTTTGCAGACTACATGTACTTGAAGGGATTTCTGCCAGTTTGGATATATGTATGTATAGATATACACCCTTTCCTTTCTCTTCACTCAAGTCAAAACCTCTACCCTGACTAATGCTTTTGAGCTCAACTTCATTTCATTCTCTCAATACTGTTTTAGCTATCTTTTATGTGCACAAAGCTGTCAACTGAAACTGCATAATATTGTGGCATCTGGAAAATTCCAATCACTCAAAACACTTTGGCCATATTGCCTAGTTACAGGCTGTTGTAATTTTCCTAACATAGCAACCTAAACAGCGAGCCTCCCCCTGGGAGACCTGTCAGCAGTACCTTCCTCAGCAGATGTACTCCAGCATAAACGTGGACCAAAGTCAATCCTCCCTGTACCTTTATAAAAACAACTAAAGAAGCTACTATTGCTAAACTTGCATACGGGTTAAATAATAATTTATACATGTGAGACTCCAAGGGTACTGTTTTATGAGTAAATCGCACTCCCCCCCCCAGCATGCATTTCGTGAATCATCACTTCAATGGGTCCAGCAGAAATACTTGTCTTTATTAGGATAGTAGGTGGCAAAAATGCCATGACCTAAGAATAAGAAATGCCTGAAGAATTAAGATATGATGAGAATTCCTTGAGTTTTTTTCATGCACTATTAGGTTTAGCTCCTTACATTCCTGTTTGGTTCTTTTACATAATTAGCATCCCAACAGAGATTATTTCAAGCATTTTGTCTCTCATCAACAGGCAGGAGAGGAGCTGTTTCCCAAAGATGACAAAGGTATGTCGATACCCAACACCACTGACGTTCTACAGACATGGGAGGTAAGTTCAGCCACAGCAGAAGAGACAGTCTCTGTCCTCATCTGTCTCTTCCATGATTTCATTGCCTTCAGCAGTCACAGGACTGTTGTTTCATGCATGCAAAATCAGTTGAAGAGAACATAAGGCAGCACAATGTAGCTTTTCATAACGAGTGTGCTTAGTCATTACCTTGCTATTCCTCTTCCCCGAGTGCCTTACTTGACTGCCTGACTCACAGTGAGCTGCACAACCACTCTCAGTGGAGCTGCAACCCAGACTGGGGCTGGAAAAAGTTTGTTCCTTGACCATAACAACTGTACAATTGTCTTCACCATGGTTCTTGCGCCTTTCTTGAAATGCTCAAATAGATTTTACAGAAATAAAGACGTTTTAGGTTGAGATCTTGCCTACTATGTGGGGCACAGCCCTCCAGTGCTTGCACAACAGTGGATTACTGAGTGTTGTTGTTCTTTTCCTCATGCAACTTGGTGTGAATTTCCACAAACTCGGGGAATGAGAATTTGGGCATGGGTGAGGTGGCACTGACGTACCAGTACCTGCTTTTCCTCAGAGAATTTTGAAACTCTAGTTATTCTGTGCTGCTCGTGATGGGAAACACGCCACACCAGAAAGAACATCATCTTCTTCATGACTTGCCGACCAGATGCTGACTGTGCTCCCCTCTGTTAGGCCATGGAAGAGCTGGTGGATGCTGGTCTGGTAAAAGCCATTGGCATCTCCAACTTCAACCATAAGCAGATTGAAAGAATCTTGAACAAGCCAGGGCTGAAGCACAAGCCTGCCAATAACCAGGTAAGCTGCGAAGTGACTGCAGGTGAAGAGTTTCCAGGGATTATAAAGATCTGTTTACAGTTGAATGAGGAAATGGAAAAAGGGAAAACAAAGTAGACACAGCATGTGCTCTAAATCCTGTGCTGTGGATATTTCTCAGTACACAAGGCACTTGTTTACATCCTTTTTTGTCTCACCTTGCTAAACCACTGTTTACAAATGTTGGAGTATTTCCCTGGAAATATTCTTTCTGGAAACATGAAGAACCCAGAGACAAGTCCTGTGAAACCCCACAGCACAAACTACATAAGCACTTATAAAAATAAGTACCTTCAGTTCTAAGGATGCACATTATCACACAGGCCACTGGCAAATTAGGGGAAAAGGCAGCCTCTAATTGGATTATCCATGGAGATAATCCAGGGAGAACTATACTACTACCACAGTTCTGCCACTATCAGCCTCTGTGCCTTTGTGTTGGCAGGTCGAATGTCACCCATACCTCACCCAGGAGAAGCTGATCAAGTACTGTCAATCCAAAGGGATTGCTGTGACAGCATACTGTCCCCTTGGCTCTCCTGACAGACCATGGTAAGATTGCTTTGTGCTTTGCAAAAGGCTGGCATGGAATATGCTTGTAGCATTGAGGTCGTAAGTGCACTATTAATCATTCATCTAGGTACAGATTTCTGTTGCTAGGCTGCATCTTTCTACAGACATTTCTTGCCACTGATTTCTTTCTTCTGTGTAGGGCTAAGCCAGAGGATCCTTCCCTTCTGGATGACCCCAAGATCAAAGAGATTGCAGCCAAGCACAACAAAACCCCAGCACAGGTATGTGGGTGCTGGACAGTGGGTACCCCTTCCTGTAACAGAGCCGTGAAGGAAAACAGAGCTGAGGAGTGGGTAGAACCTCCATCCATTCCCCATGATTAGTTGCACTCTATTTTTTCCCCCCTAACAATGCAATTTTTTATTACATGGCCTGCAAGACATGCTACTATTACCTCTTTGGCCCTCAAAAAGATTCTTGACCCACTTTCAGATGTCGCTTCCCCTCTCAAGTCCTCTTGCACAGAATGAAAGTCGTGCATTGACTGCTGGAAATCCGGGTGGGAAGAAAAGGAATTGACTGTCTCAAAACTGAATGGAAAAGGAGGCCTTCCATGTGGGCCTCCACCACTTCTCTCTTTGCCATTCAGGAAGTGCTACTTAGGCCACAGGGACAGGAACTACCTGAATTGTAGCACCACAGACAGGGTTCAGTTCTACTGAAAACTCAATGGCAAACCGCTGTTGGAACAGGCTCTGCTTCCTCCAGAGTAGCAGTCGTCCTCCCTCTGACTCAGTGGTCTGTCTCTGCAGGTTCTCCTTCGCTTCCAGATCCAGAGAAACGTGATTGCAATTCCCAAGTCTGTCACTCCCCAGCGCATTGTGGAGAACTTCAAGGTGAGGCATGAGGAGTGACCGGGGTGCTGCTCTTCCTTCCCCCGCAGAGCGAGCACCAGCCCTTTCTCAGTCTTCCTCCCAACTCCTCCTCGGGCAAGAGGAGCAGGATCTTTCTCTCTGTTTACATACACTTTAATGAGGATTAAGCCATGCTGACTTTTGGAGAGGACAGAGGAACAGGTCTTATATGATATTTTTTGTTTTGTGGCTTGCGGATGAATCAGCAGGTACAGCTCGCTTGGAGCCCACACACAGTAAAATGCCAGGAAAGTCTTACGTAGAATAAGCAATGTTCATTAAACAGTTCTTGTGGCCATAAAGCAAGCTCTTCCTCTATCTGTTAATTCAGGGGTCCATGACCGAAAATGTCTGCCCCTCCAGTGTGGGGCTGCTCTTCAATATTGCCTTTCTCCACACTGTTTGTTTTTTCAAAGAGGTGATTGCCAGCTGTTTCTCTTTTTAGGTGTTTGACTTTGCATTGACTGAGGAGGAAATGGCAACCATTCTCAGCTTCAACAGAAACTGGAGGATCTGTGCCATGAGCATGTAAGTGATACTGCTTGTTTCCTTCCAACTCGTACCGTTTGAATATTCTTTACAAGGAATTTTGTGTCACAGCTACTAGGTAGCATGAAATTCAGTTTACTCAAAATGCATGCCAACTCAAATTCCAACTGGTTTGTCACAAAATTAGATTTTCGGGAGAGGGTTTAATATTTCTATTTTAAAACAAAACCAAAAACCACAATAAAAACCACCAAAAAAACCCACAAAAAAACTACATTCTCATTTTGAATTCAATTTCCAGGCAACTCTTGTAATTTGCAATTACAAAAAATGGGTTCTGGATGTTCGTTTCATCTTTGCCTGTATTAGAGGAATGAGGACACATTATCTCCATACGTTCTTCCTGTAATTACATCCCACAGATCTTCCCCCGGTGGCTCCTCCAAGCACCCAACGCACCTCCGTATAACATGTAGGTCACCCATGAAAATAACATTCCCTCTTGCATTTCTCTCAGGTGCAAAACTCACAAGGAGTACCCTTTCCACGCAGAATACTGATGGTGCCTGTAACACGGCCCTCACCAGACCGCCGCTGTCTCGTGTGCCTCTGCTAGAACTTTGAGCTGTCGACTCCTCTAGTTTTCTGACTGTATCTGCCCTGCTGCTGCCAGCAAAGACACAGGATGTTTATCCCATGAAATTTGCTTGAGTTCTCTTTTTGGAAGAAGGAAAGAGTATTTTCCACAGAACAGAATAAGGGATGCAGTAATTTTCTGCGTATTAGAAGAGAGGATTACTACTGAAGAGCACAAGCAGAGCTGCTAAGCAGCAATCAGGGAGTGTTTGTGCCACCACTCAGTGGTTGCCTTCAGTCCTGCATCACCAGAAACCAGATGTTGACAAACCACAAAAAAAACCCCACATGCATCAATACTTATGATCAATAGTTAATCAGAATTGACACATATTTTAAATAAAATTAACTTTAAAATGCAAACCCATAATTGGCTGAACATCTTTGATCTAGTATAGGAAAAATCCAAAGCCCTCCTACCCAGGGATGCAGAGAGATGTTGGCTGTGGTCACCGGCACTGTGGAACACAGCAGAGCCGCTCAGCACTCTCCCCTGTGGGCACCAGTGGGCAGCCAGCCCGCACAGGACACCCGCCCGGCCCCTGAGATCCAGCCACCAGCCCTCGAGCTCCAGCCACAACCCCCGGCCGTGCTGGGGGTCATTTCAGACCCGGCACAGCCTGGGTGTCAGCCCCCCCGGTCAGGGGGAGGCTCAGCCCCTCGCTGCTGTGCCCAAACCACTGGCACCTTAGGATCTTCTCTCCAAAATTTCCACTTTCAGTTCATAAAGATACAATCCAAAGATGTAGGGCAGTTCTACGTCTGTCCCACACAACCAACCCTCTGTCTCCTGGGAAGCTCCCGCTCTAACACTTGCTCTAATGGTGGGGTCACCATTGTGGGCACAGTCACACAAACCCATCCAGACCCTCCTTGGCTAAAGGCAGCGGTTACTGCCCCATTCTGCACATGCTGAAGGGCTCTCCTGCTCCCACCTGAAGGGTCTCCTCCCACCCCAGGGCGCACACAGCAACCCACTGAAAGAAAGGAGGCACCCGAGGGGTTTAGCCACGTCAACCTGCTGAAACAGGCCCAGGGGTCAGGGACGGGCGGACAGGACCTGCATGCTTAGGGAAGGCAAATGAACCTGGATCTGCTACAGAGAGTGAGGGTACATGATCCCAGTTTTGTTTCTGGAGCTTCATTTTAAATACACAGTTGTGCCACTCAGATTAATAGCCAAATACCTGAATTATCAAAGACTGAAGTCTTCAAAAAAACTGTTGAGAAGACACAGAGACGGCGGTGAGACCTCAGAGGATGCTCCTGGCTTGATCTGAACTTCGTGCAAGACAGTGGCCCAGGTCTTAACCTCTATCCTCCCGTCTGCATTGCTGCCTTCACAAGCAGCTGGGAATTGAATCGATACACACCATTTAGCAAGATAAACATCCTGTTTCAATATACTTGTTTGCCGAAGGCTCTACCACCATCTGACAACCCCAGCCACATCTTCAGGACAAAACAACAGCTGACAGCTCCCAAGTCTTGGCGTGATCTGGGCAAAGTCTCACACCAACAGGCACAAACAGCGAAGCAAAACGCAAACCTTCTGCCCAAAATCCTCTGTTAAAAGACTGAGACATCTCCCAGTCAAGAAACCACTGGAGAAAACCAAGCACCGACCTTCGCAGGAGAACATGAACAGGCTGCAGAGGCAGCAACACGAAAAGCTCAGAAGAAAATGAGAGGAAGGACAAACAGCAATTCCCAGCCACGCTCTCCACCAAATCACATTATCAGCCATCACACACTCCACCCAGCTCCTTCCCACAGGAATGCAAGGCTTTGAAACCATTCCCCAAAAAGACAGGCTCAGAAGAACGGGAACAAACACTGCAGGGGCTTCTCCTCTTTCTCCTGCGAGGTCCCACCTTACCGGCCAAACAGCCGGGCTTTGCAAGCTTCCACAGACTTGCAGAGCATAACTCTGATGGCACCAGTTCACCTTGGTACTGCCCCAGTGCGAAATGTGACTGATTCTGGCAGTCCCTACACCAAGACTTGAAACCCACTCACCACTGATTGTTCCTGAATGTGTCACTGCCAGCACTAATAAATCGCCAGCACAGCACCACAACCTTGAGTGCCTTGGGAATACAAAGGACAGTAGAAGCCAAGTGGCACTTCAGCTGGTCTCTAGGCTCTCTTGAGAAAATAGGTCGCAGCCAAGGCAAAATGTGTCATTCTGCATTTTTCACTGACTTCTCCGAACAAAGAACCAGCATCCAAGAAGCTGAGCACAATCAGAGCAGATCTATGGAGAAGGAATCCCAAAAAAGGAGAGAGAAGCCCTGAGTTGGGTAACTGTTACATGATTCAACAGAAACACCACATCCTGCTGAGGGTTGACAATGGCACTCACACAAAACAGGAGGAAGAGTACAGCATTGTTAAGGAATACTAGTTGTTTCATCTAAATAAGTCTTAAATAGAATTAACTGCTCTGAGTCAATCATTTAGCATTAGGCTGCAAGGGTTACGGCATAATGTTGAGTAGTTTAGTATACTGTTTGTTCATTACTAACTTAGCATGAGTAGCTAGATTTGATAAAGTCTTAGGCCTCAAGCTGCGAATTTCCACTTAGATATGTTTTGGGCTGGGATAGAGTTAATTTACTTCTTAGTAGCTGGTACAGTGCTGTGTTTTTTACTGTGGGAATAATGTTGACAACATACTCATGTTTTTGTTGTTGCTAAGTAGTGCTTATCCCAAGTTTAGTCTGACAGACCTAGCAGGTGCACAAGAAGCACAAATCAGAAGATAAGGAGATTACAACCATCCACAAGATAAGAGCAGTTAACGGCCTGCCTGGAGACAGAAAGAATTCAACAAGGCGTTAGAAGACACTGTGCTGAGTTCAGTCAGGAAAGAGTTAACTCTCCTTACCATGGCTGCTAGGAAGCTGTTCCTGGATGCAGAGAGCAGCACTGATCAGGTCTCAGCTGGAGCTGGGCAATGCTTGTACTGAATTCAAGGTCTTTCTCCCCTTCTGACCCTGTAGCTGCGTTCCCAGCTCTGCTGTCTGGCTACAGGCAGTGCAGGGACACACAGTTCAGGCACCTGACCCCAACTGACCAGGGGAGTATTTCATTCCTTAGTACGTCATGCTCGGGGTGAGGAGGGGGTCCGGGAGCCATTACTCCTCCCTTACTCTCACTCGTTTGCTCTTGTACACTTGCTGACACTCTCCCTGAGTCCTGCATTAGCTGCTTTGCTAACTCCTGTGCTGGCTCCTTCGGGAGGGAGTTGGTGGGTTTGTTTAGTTTAGTCTAGTTCCTACACTCCTAGGATGGTGCATGAGTGCACGAGTGGTCTCTCCTTTAACAGTGTATTTTGCTTCTTCAAAATTTCAGTTTCTAAAGGTCACCTACCATTTATTTCTACACTTTCTGAAAGATGTTCTGCTCCTCCCTGAATCAGAGGGACAATGTGATCATTATGACATTCACTGAAAACTCACTGCTCTTCTGCAGCTTTGAAAACATAATTAAAAAAAAATCCTTTCTCCCAGCATTCAAAATGAAGTGGTTTATAGTCATTATTTTCTGGATTCCACATAAACTCACCCCAAAGGGGAAGCTGCCTTTGTTCCATGTGGAGAGGGGAACAGGGCATTACCCACTCTCCCGAACCAGCCACGCCGAGGTTTCTCCAGCCATGGCACTGCATCAGCAGGCAGCACAGCAAGGCTCCTGGGACCAGGCCAGGCCACCAGCTGTCATGGCGACACGCTGCCCCAGCTGAAGGGCACAGGAGTTCCTCGGCCATGGCCCACAGCCCACAGCACACTGCCAGCAGCGAGGGCACAGCTCTGCGAGCAGAGAGCCTGCTCCGGACTCCTGCCTATTAACTCAATTTGTGGCACCCCCTGGCT